AATGTAATGGTTGGTTCTTGCACGAAATCGCTGTCTGAATATGGACAATATATTAGTATATCGATTCATTACGTATACAGATTCATGCATCAAATAAGTTAACAAATAAGTTAACATAAAAAAWTTAATGTAAAAAGGTTGCATATTAGAAYTAAAAATAATGCAATCTATACATTATATTTTTATTAATATAAAGTTGCATAATGGTATGAAATATCCATTAATTAGACTAAAATCATATATTATTGGCCAAAATTCAATGTATACAACGGATATTGAAATTCTACCTGCGATGGGCGGATTAACAATCGTCTTCCCTGTTTTCTTCGTCTTAATTGTGGCATCTTCTGTGTTGGCTTGACTCGTTGAGGAAGTTCTGTTTAACGTAATCTTCAGTTTCTTTATCTTACCATCATTTGGGTCATGGGGAACATCAACATCTGAATGAATACAACGCATTAGTGTATGTGACTTCAAAACAAATATGATGTGAACAGTCTTCATGCGAAAGTAACGTATAACAAAGATGTAGCTATCTGGGTTATAACAAAGATGTAGGTATTTGTATTAAAAATATTAAAAATAACTATAGATGATAATGAACAGTCTTCAATTGAATATGGATGATTCTGTATCATACTCAAGTGAAATCAAGCAGAAAAATAACTACGCTTCATGAATAACTATACTAGATAATCAACAGCAGCATAGTCATAATAGACTGTATGCTTCATGCACATGCTTCATGTGTAGTAGTAGATAATAATCAAGTAATGAACAGTCTTCAATTGAATCTGGATGATTCTGTATCATACTCAAGTGAACTATTATACAAATTAAAAATAACTATATTGATCATATTGAAGACATTACATAGTAGTAGATAATACTCAATTGAACTATTAACTACAGTAGTAGATAATGAACATGATTCATCATCAAATTGAATCTGGTMGTAGATATTGAATCTGGATGAATCTGTATCATAAGCAAGTGAATTACTAACTACAGTTGTATATAACGAACATGCTACATCATCATAGTGAAAATCAAATACGAAACAGGTTCATTGATTAAATCGTTCCATCACATATTACATGTTTTTCATGTGAAAATGAGCCATGAACCTGATTCATTGAAGTGCATAAATAGGAATAGATGATTAATTTGGACAATATGCATAGTGTAGTGGATAATGAACATGCTTCATCTTCATGAATATGTACCATAATCACGTGACCTATTATAAAATGTGTATTGCTTCTGGATGAAATCAAACAGAATAATAACTACACTGCTGTTGATCATATTGAATACTATGGACAGCATATGATTTATAAAATAGTATTCGAACAACATGTAGGCATTTCAGCTTTAAGAAGTTTTAAAGTTCATATAAACTAGTATGGGACCGGGTGTCGTGCAATAACAAGAAATAGATGTTTTGTATCCATTCCCCTGTTTCATCTAATTCGATAATAGTACTAGATGATTACTTTAAACAATATGCCTATGTTTTGTATCCATTCCCCTGTTTCATAGTTGCCAGCATTCATGAGTGGATGAGCCATGAACCAGATTAATTAAAGTGCATAAATGAATAGAGGATTAATTTGGACAGTGTAGTGGATAATGAACATGATTCATCTTCATGAATCTGTACCATAATAAGGTGACCTGTTATAAAATGTGTATTGCTTCTGGATGATGAACATCAACTAAGAACCATCTTCAGGATGAAAAGCAACTAAGAAACATGTTCATTGATGATGAACATACTTAATGGATCAACTTCACATAAAACAACATGTAATGGGCCATAATACTTAGTGAACCTGTTTCATAGTTGCTGTAATTGGCCATAATACTTAGTGAACATGTAATTTGCCAATGTAATCATTGAACCTGTTTCATAGTTGCCAAATTAATGAGTGGATGAGCCATGAACCAGATTCATTAAAGTGCATGATAGGAATAGAGGATTAATTTGGACAGTGTATTGGATAATGATTATGCTTCATCTTCATGAATCTGTACCATACTCAAGTGACCTATTATAAAATGTGTATTGCTTCTGGATGATGAAAATCAACTAAGAACCATCTTCATGATGAAAAGCAACTAAGAAATATGTTCATTGATGATGAACATACTTAATGGATCAACTTCACATAAAACAACATGTAATAGGCCATTTTAATCAGTGAACCTGTTTCATAGTTGTTGTTCATCGTGGTGATGAACTACATCAATTACACAGATTCAGCAACAATTTCTATAAAACTAAACCGCAAAAAAAATAATTACCAACCACTGATAACATTGACTTCACTACAATAAGAATGAAACAACTTGGGGTTTCTTCCAATAGATATGCATTTTGTCCCAAAATCATGTATCATACAAATTTACAGCTTTAAAACGATAAATGCAGAAATGGAATACCTGTATCATCCTTAACGACTCTCTTCCTGCCTCCTTTCTTCATCTGTTGTTTAATGAACTCCAAGTCGTTACCATCGTCATCGAGTTCAACAGGTCGTTCTTTGTCGTTGGTAAACTTCGAAAAAYTGTTCATCTCCCTCAATCTTTGGCTATAACGCCTCCTCCCTGTAAAAGACAGAGGGATTACAAGCCTTCAATGATCTCCAACTTCACTGTTCGATTTCTATAAAATCGAAAAACGATTTCAATAAATATGACATACCTCCATTGTTGCCGACCATTTTGGTTGAATATACAGATGATCGATGTTTTTGGAAACACTATATTCGAAAATGGATATGATTTACCTTCGCCGGATTGAGAGGGCTGCATGCGAAGAAGACGGGATTACGACGAATGAATGGGAAAAGCAATCGAGGGCTTACAAATTGAATACCGATTCTACCCTTTTTGCATAAATAAAATGAATATTAATTATTTTTTAATTTTTAATTTCCTAAAATAAATTGATATAATCTAGGCCATTGATCGAGAAAATGGACGGATGAGATTAGTTTACACGGTTCACACAAATGGTTCAAGTTTTCATTTGAACGCTCCTCTATATATATATATATATATAGGGACCTAATCAAATGAGAACTAATTAGTTTCTGGTAACCGTGAGGTCCAATCTCAATCACAAATCAATAGATAAATTAGGAAATTTATAATTTTGGTAATTTTGAATTTAAATTTTAATGAAAGAGTATTTTTAGGTATTTTAAAACTCTCATCTTTCCGTCCTTTGGTGATACCATTGTGATACCTAAAAATATTGACTCTGTTAAACAAAAAACAAACAAACAACCATCAGTGTGATACCTAAGCACATATAAGATGCATTGTAATATCACCGTTGTCATGGAATAAATAACATTAACTTCATTTTGAAAGTTAAGGAATATGATTTGGTCCATGAAGAAAGAACCCTTAAGATGAACTACAAACATGAAAAACTTAGAACCCAGATGTACAAACCGGTTGTCCCAGGAAGGAACAGATAATTACAACAATAGCAGTAGAAACAATATTGACTCTGTTAAACAAAAGACACACAAACGACCCTCGTGTGTGATACTTAAGCACATATAAGATCCATTGTGATACCATTGTCACATCTTTGACCGACACTGTTTCATCTTCGGAGTTTACATCTCCGACAAGATCCGGTTTACATCTCCAGCGACATATGTGCTACATCTCCGGCGGGATTGTGGTTACGGCTCCGATCTAAAACCCGATCTGTGTAGAAACTATAAACCAAAGCCTCTTTCACGACGACCACCAACGCCTCCGATCTAAAATCCGATATGTCTATCTACCGCCTCCGTAACCACCAACGCCTCTTTCACGACGACCACCACCACCACTTCCACCATTGTGAGATATGTGTTACTTCTCCAGCGAAAGTTCAATCGAGAGACGAGGGATAAGCAAGAGGTGACTTCGTATCCACCGCCTCCTTCACAGGCACTACCACCACTACCTCAACCACAACAAGATCTGGTTACATATAGCTTATAGCTTATATCTCCGACGAAAATTCAATCTAGAGAGAAGGGAGAAGAAAGAGGCGTAGGTTTTAATTTGGTAAATTGTAATCAACTATGTAAGCGTAAGATTAAGATTGGAATTGGAATTGGAATTGGAATTGGAATTTGAATGTGTAATTAATTAAGGAATTGATTTGTTATAAAAAAATCCAAAATTGTCAAATTACCAAATTACCCTTTATAATTATTTAAAATATACTAATAGTTATCTTAAATGATTGGTCCATATTAAATCTCACGGTTACCACAAACAAAATAGTTTCCATTTGAATCATATATATATATATATATATATGTATGTATATATATATATATGTATGTATATATATATATATATATATGTATGTATAGTTGTGTGTATATAATGGCATAGTCGTCATGATTAAGTGGCAGCTGATTCTGTAAAGATATAAAGGCAGAGCATCCAACTTATTTGGGTTGTATTGAGGAGGTAGGGTTTATAATTTGATTTGAGAGTGGGAGTGGGAGTGAAAACAATGAGTGTTCCTGAAGCTCCAAGCATCAACTATCATCCATACTCCCATGCACTTCAAATTAGGGTTTACCAAGCTTTCATATTCTCCATCCCAATCCTCTTCTCCATCATACTCTTCCTTTTGTTCTACTTGTTCTACCTCAAAAGAAGGGCTTATGCTATTTCTTCTTCCCCACCAACACTTCCACCTTCTACATTCAATTATGCTACTTCATTTCTCCCCATGGTAATTAATTAACCTACTCTCTCTCTCTCTCTCTCTCTCTCTCTCTATCTATATATATATATATATATATATTTTTTAAATTACGCTTTTTGTTGATGTTTATGAATTTATAGTCTCATCATGTAATGGGATTGAAAGGAGATCTCAAGGATAAGCTGCCGAAGGTCATTTTTGGTGAAGATTTAAAAGCAAAGGATTCACTGTAAGACTACTAATTTCTTATATTATCTCATTAGATAATACAAGGGTTGTTTGACACTTAATGAATGGTTTGTTATAAAATGAGTAAGTGGAAAATGATTAATGAGACTCTTATCATATATAATGCAAAATGAAACATGGTTGTTTGATAATTGTTTAGAATGAAATTAGGTGCTTAATGGTTTAGAGAACCCTAAGATACAAAATCATTAAAAGAGTTTTAGAATCATTAAGAGGCAGATGTTTTTTGTCAAACAAGATTCCCCTCTTAGTAATTCATGAGTTGACTCTTAATAGAACTATTAAGAGGTAAAAGAACAGTCCCATATTAAGATCATCGACCCACTATCATACCATTTTATTACATTACATCCTCAAATGATCATGATATATATATAGGGTTGGGTTCACGTGAGACCAAGTGTTTTTTATGAGACCCGTGAGATCAATTTATGTTCATTGATCAACTTTATAAACTAATGATCTAATGGTCTAAAGTAGCATGGTGGCAATTTTGTAATTATTGAGAAGTCTCGTAGCAATTTTGTGATTATGAATGTTGAAACTGTAGATCTAATCCAAGAGTTGAGAATTAGTCTTACGGGTCTCACATGATCCCAAGTCTCTCTCTCTCTCTCTCTCTCTCTCTCTCTCTCTCTCTCTCTCTCTCTCTCTCTCT